AGATATATATACGGAAACGTCATTAACTATATTTAAGATAAAATATACACTTAATTTTTAAATCCTGAATAAAGGGATAGATGAATAAATGATGGATGAGTATTCATTCATTCATTTTGAGATGGAGTCTTGCCCTGTCACCCAGACTGGAGTGCAGTGGCGGGATCTCGGCTCACCACAACTTCTGCCTCTCTGGTTCAAGCAATTCTCCCGCCTCAGCCTCTTGAATAGCTGGAACTACAGGTGCGAACCACCAGGCCCGGCTAATTTTTGTATTTTTAGTAGAGATGGGGTTTCATCATGTTGGCCAAGCTGCTCTCAAACTCCTGACCTCATGTGATCTACCTGCCTCAGCCCCCCAAAGTGCTGGGATTACAGGTGTGAGCCACCACGCCCAGCCTACATTTATTTTTGTATAATCTTTAGCAAGAATTTTAGAATCCATGTAAAAGTTAGAAAGTAAACACATATATATATTTGTAAAATGGTATATCTCATCACAAGTGAGATAATAAAAAACATTGTTTAATGCATCCTCTGTTGCTCACATTACAGTTTTTTAGGGGAGAAACTAAGCTTTCTAGTGGTGGTAGCTTTGAAAATTTCTTCCCATTTCTCATCAGAACAGTAGCTAGAGACAGAAGTTAACATTTGTGAGAAATTTCAGAAGTGTCATCCTTCTAAAATATTTCATTCTGTGCATGTACACACAATCATATGTTTACTCAATGTTGTCCAATTACCAAGAGGTCAAGTAGGGTAAGGACTGAAAAATGGTAATTGGGGGTTTGGCAATTACGAACTCTCTGATAAACCACAGTGAGAGTCTCCGGATCTCTCACAAGGTTGCAGTCAAAGTGTCAGCCAGGGTTGGAGTCATTTCAAAGCTTGACAGTATTATACTGTAATATCTCCTTCCAAGCTCACTCATATTTTTGTTGGCAGAAGGTTTCAGCTCCTCTGGGACTGTTGGCCACAGGCCACTGTTCTTAACTGCTTGAGTGTCCTCCTGACATGGCAGCTGGCTTTCCCCATAGCAGTGATAAGACACACACACACACACACACACACACACACGTTCGCAAGATACTGGAGATTGGGGAGAATGGATAAGAGAAAAGGGTGGGGGAAGAAGGAGGAGAAAGTTGTCACAAAGTGTTTTTTGACTTAGTCTCAAAATCATGCACTTTATTCTATTTTCTAGAAGCAAGGCACTAAATCTAGCCCACACCCAAGGGTAAGGGCATGAATTAAAGTCTACCTGTTGAAGGGAGGAGTAACAAAGAATCCACGGACATGATTTTAAGCCACCACAATCTGTTGGGAGTCCTAACTGCAAGTAACAGAAAATCCATCTCAAAATGGATTAAACAGCAATGGGAACTCGTTGGTTCCCATAATGAAAAAGCCCTGCAGGTAAGTAAACATGGTGAATACTTGTTCAGAGCTCTATTTTCTCTGTCCTCCTCTCTGTGTCAAATCATCCTTGACCAGGTTGCTAGCAAAAATGACTGTAACCACTCTAAGTCCTCCTCCATGCACACAGCACATTCCAGAATAGGCTAGCTTGGCTCTGACTCCACACCCCAGCAGAGTTCTGAGATTCACTCTAATTGGATGGGCTTAGGTCACATGCTTACCGTCCCCAAGCTGGGGCCTCGAATGCCTTGACTGGATCCAGTGCTCCACCCTGAACCAGGACCGTGAACTCACGTGCCTGAAACCACACAGAGAGGAATGGATGCTAGAGAGGCAATCACAAATACCTACTACACGACTCAGGGACATTTATGTCAGCTTTTAAAGCATATATAACTTATATTATTCTTTTCTCTGTCAGATAATACATCACAGAGTATTAGGGTTAAGTATGAGTAATTTTTAATTCCCACCACTGCTGCTAAATCTTAGCTAAGAAATAAGGTAGAAAAACTGCTTCTTTTTGTGTTATTAAATGTGTACATTAGCAAAGTTCAAATTTTTTCCTTTATTTCATACTAAAATCATTTTAATAAAATATTCCTCTTCACTATAGCCTTCTTGCCTTCTAGGAAGAAAGCCTTGCCCTAAAATAAAGAGGCTTTGTGTTTAAATTCACATTCATCTGATTCAGAGTTTTGTTTAAAAAAAAGGGGGGGGGGCATGAAATAAAAATAATAAAAATATTTTTTAAATCTACGTTTGAAGCAGAAGGTCATGACAAAAGGCAACAACCTTGGTTCAACTTGCCTTAGGACAGTGACCTTGAGAGAGGGCTTTGATTTGAAATTGGTTGATGAATTCCAGAGAATGGAGTTGTTACAAATATCATACACATTTTGAGTGGGAAAAAGAAACAGCCTGCTGGACACTTTTAACCTTCAATTCTGCCTATTACAAAGTCGAGGGGTCAAACAGACTAAGACCATGTGGACTTAAGGGTTCATCCTTCTCCATGAGAACACAATTCTCCCACTAGCCTTCTGCAGGCACGCAGATGCTTCCTACTGAAGATTCTTGATTGTTTTGGAAAACACTTCATACCTTCTTAATATCAAGCCCTCAAGAAGGCAACATGAGTACTTAGTAAAGCACAATTTCTATTTCTTTCTTGAGAGGCAATAAGGACATCAAGATATCTTTGCTTAACATAACAACCATCAATTATTCAGTATTTACCATGTGCCAGGTGCTATGTTTGGCATTTTACATACATCATCCGATTTAATCCTCGTAACAACACTACAAAGTGTGTAGAATTATCTTTTTACAGATAAAGAAACAGATGCACAGAGGTCAGGTACTTAGCCCAAGCTTACAAAACTGATAGGTGGCAGAGCTGTATGTTGAAATCATGTGTGTTTGATTCCAAAGCCCATACTCTTTCTTTTGCAACACTCCGTCTAAAAACTCTTAAATAATTTCTTGATGTTCGTAACTAAAAGAGTCAACAGTTTAAATAGATGTTTAAAGAAAAGAGAAATAAATATTTTTTAAATGTTGATAAATACAAATACAGATTTGTTCAAAATCACATGTTGTATATCATCTGCAGACTCACTGTGAAATATACGGAGGCAAATACATACAGGGACAGATAGCAGAAATACTTTTAGATCAAAAACAAGCCCCATTTCTTTTTCTGTTTTGCTTTGTTTTTTTGAGACGGAGTCTCCCTGTGTCACCCGGGCTGGAGTGCACTGGCACGATTGCTACTCACTGAAACCTCCACCTCCCAGGTTCAAGTGATTCTCCTGCCTCAGCTTCTAAGTAGCTGGGATTACAGGCATGAGCCACCACACCCGGCCAACAAGCCCAATTTCAAATAAGATATGGCTCTGGAAATTCGGGACAGCATGAGCTTGACAGAAACAGCTCAGGTCTGGGAGTCCCCTTCCACAAAGAGGCATTGAGAAGAACTCAGGGTAGGAGAGAAAGGGCAGTGGCTTGCTAAAATCCAGTGCTGCAGTGAGACTCACTGATACAGTTTCATTCAGTAGAAGCAGTAGGCAAACTTGCGCAAGAAAAAATAAATACTGTAAGCAGCTGAGCTAAAGCAAATGTAGAATCCGAGGGACTGAATTTTCCTGTTGGCCCATAAGTTAAGTCACTTACACTAGCTGATATCATGGAAATAAGGATCGTCCATATTTAGAAAAGCTCACAGCAGGCAAGAATGCTTTCCAGACTCCTGCCACAGTATCAGGAGATGTCAATCACCACTATGTGTTTTTGAACAGTACTTGGTGGACACAGAACAAGGCAGCTATAATGAGTTTATCCTGGATTGGCCCCAGCATATAAAATAAAACAATAATATTATAAGTCGGTTCTGTACGTTGTTATGCGGATATGTGCTCCCTGCCGTCTCCCCAAGAGGGCATTTGGCAATGTCCGGAGACTTTTCGATTGTCACAACGTCGGGGGCATGGTGCAACTGGCATCTAGTGCGTGGAAGCCTCCTACAATGCACAGGACAGCCCCCTACAATAAAGAATTATCCAGCCCAAGATGTCAATGGTGTGGAGGATGAGAAACTCTGGACCAGAGGAGGAAAAAGCATTTATGGCATGAGGGAGTTTTGTTCACTGCCTTTTTTGAACTCCCCACTCCGCAAGTATCAATTCTCTGGGATCATTGCTTCTGGCAGGAGAGGTCATGAGGAGGCCTAGAATATGAACCAGATAGAGATTGCATTGTTTATTTTCCTTTTCATCTAAAACAATAAATCATCCTGTAGCTTAGGCATTAGGTCCCTTCGGATGTCACGGTATCCTTTTGCTTTTCTGACATCAACACATAGAAACGCAGGGCCCTGTGGCGCCCGGGGTTTCTGCCTGGGTTTAGGTTTCTTCCCCCTCAGCATCGCGTGCTGTGCCCTGGTGGAGGGGAAGAGCGAAACACTTTGGGAATGGGGCGTTTTCGTAACGTCATTTATTTAGTCTACATGAGGAATTTTGCTCTTTAAGAATAAGAAAGTTGTGGGTTCCCAGAAGCTGGAAATCGGACGAGAGAATATGCGTTAACTAGGGAAGTTAATCACGTTGAGTCTACAGACAAGGACAAGGGGGGAGGTGGCGGAAAGCCCCGTTTGGCTGACTTTTTACTGCTGGAGCCTCCCGCCCCGTCTGTGTCCGCGAAGACGGGGATCGGCGCTCGCGGTGGAGAGGTCCGACGCAGGGCGGCGAGGGCCACTTCCCGGCGGGACCGTCCCGCCGCCGGGCCTCCCTGGAGGGGAAGGAAGTCCCTCTCCAAGTCCCAGTGGCTTTTGGAACTGCCGGGTCCCTTTGGGAGGGAGCGGTCCCGGGACGTGGGAAGATGCCGGGCGGGCGGGAAGCTGCAGGAAGAGGCGGGCCTCCTGCCTTTTGTCTCCTGGTGGCTAGCCCGGAGCCGGGCCGAGGGCAGCCAGCCCGCTACAAGCCCCAGCCCGGCAAGCGGCTCCGGGAATCCGGCGGGCGGGGCGGGGCGGAGCCGGGAGGAAGGCGGGGCGGACACAGGCCTCGCCCATCGGGCACTCTTTAAAAGGCACTGGCGCGCGCTTCGCCTTGGATCTGGGACTCCGTGGACGCTACCTCCAGCTCAGCCTCGCTAGCTCCGCCTGCGGTACGTGCTCCCGCCTCCGACTCAAGTGAGTAGGGGCGGTGGGGCGGTTCCGCGGCGCTGCCAACCCCAGGGCGGGAGTCGCAGGGGGTTTCCACCGCCTCCCGGGGTCCTGCTGTCGCCGGTCGGCGCGCCCCGGTCTCCTCCGACATCCCCATCCCGGTCCACATTTGTGCCCCTGCCAGCCTCCTCACCCCTGCGCCCCAGATTTTCTCTCTCTTATCCTTCAAACACACCTGCCCTTGTCCCCGAGGCCGCCCAGGCCGTGCGCTGGGATCCCAGGCCCGCGGGGCAGGTAAATAATCTTACGTGACCTTTAGTTTCTCCATGCTGGTTTCTCTGGGGGAGAGGCGGGTCGTGAGTTTCGCGTTTCTGCTAATCCGCCTCTTGGCAGCCGTGGGTCCCCTCGTCCAGCGGCAGGTTCTCTCTGGGGTGGGGGTCCGAGTCTCAGGGCCCCCTCTGCCCGGAGTGTGGTGAGACCAAGGGCGACCTTACCGGGTTCGGTCCCCTAGGGGTGGAATGGGGCTTCTACATCCCCCGCGAGCCCAGGGTACTGCTCCTGCCGCCGTACCCGGCTCCTAGCGGCCCCATTGTTTGGTGGTGCCTGCCCACCAAGCACCGAACCACTCTATGTCGAAAGAACAGCAGGGAAATGTCAGTCGCTCACTCCTAGCTTTTTCCAGAACTTTCTACGATTCAGGTACAAAGAAGAATGCAAGAATGCTTGATTGTGAAATTATGCGACAGGTCCTGAGAATCACATTCTGGGTTCTCCAGAGCCAGATTCAGGAGCTCCACGTAGGCACCCCCTGGGGGCGGGGGGCGGGCTTTCTAAACCGGCGGATCCCTTTCCCCCTTCTAAACCGGGACATTTGTTAAACGATGTTTATTTAAATGGCTACCCAAAATGTTTAACTTCTTTTATTTGCAGTCTGCAAACCAAGCACATTTTCCCTTTATAAATGCTTTTCGATACAGATTTTTTTTTTTTTTTTTTAGCGGGGGCGGTTAGTAATTTTTTAACCCGGGCAGTGAAAATCGTCGTATTTAGTTCTTGACTTTTCCAATTAACCTGTTTTAAAACTCTACTTATAAAATGCCAAGAATTCAAATAGGACAGCCACAAAGTTAGCTGTATTTTGACTCCCGTTTTTCAAGAAAGAGTTGGGTGATAGATTTTGAAAGAGAGAATCTAACATAATTTCAGAACAGCATGCCAGCCTACAAAGGATGTTGTGAAGTGCTGAATGGTCTCCCCCAATACTCCTGGGGTCATCGCTCTCGTCCATTGTCACTGATACTTTGTCAGTATTTCTCTGGGTTTTTTCTCCCCTGCATTGTAGTTTTCTTTGCTCTTTTGGTGCTGTGTTACCTTTAAGACCAGACCTGCATCTCATAAGTCTTTGAAACTCACAGTGCTTCCTTGGGTGCCTTGGACAATTGAATGAAAGAAGGAAGGAAAGAATAAGGTTGTGATTATAGGAAACAAAAATATAATTTGACTCATACAATAGATATTTGTTTGCAGATTTGATCTAAAGTTTGTATCATACATTTTTAATGCATTTCTCCAAATGTATTTAACAAATATTGATTGATACTGGTATATGCTAAGTACTGTGCTGAAAGCAGTACTTGCTGGAGGCCTGTCCTGATGAAATTGCAAAATCAGGAGTTTTAGAAGCTTGACTCCAGAGGCAACTCTGACACTAAATTGCAATAGGGATCCGGGTCTCTAATTTTTCTTCTTTGTCAAAAGTGAGGTGAATCAAATGAACCCCAAAAGGGAGCCCACTGTGGGAGAGGAGGCATGGCTGAAAGGGGCAGGAACGAAGCCAGGCAGGACCAAATTCACACTTCAACTCCAGTACCCATTGGTTTGATGCCCTTGGGCAAATTAACTTTACTCTTTGGCCTCAATACTTCATCGTGTAAAATGGGTGTAGTGGCACATGCCTTGCAGGGTTGTCATAAGGCCTGTTGATACTTGTACAAAGCTCAGCCCAGCCTGGGAGTGGTTCCTTGTAACTAGACAAAGTTGTGCACTTGGTTGAATGTGTGTGGGAAAAGGCTATCAGTGAAAGTCTGTTTCAGGAGAGAGCTGGCTCACACCTGAATAGTGTTTCCTAGACATTGCCTGGAGGCCAGCTTTCTTTATGCAGATTTTCACAGGTTTCCTCAAGGCACCTTACCCTGACTGCCAGCATGGCATCCCTTGGGTTCTGTTGGGTGGGGATCCCCAGACACCTCTGGGTCTTTGATTACCTAGGTGGGGTTTCTAACTGTTTTTATATCATGGCACTCCTGTGAGGCCTCCAGACCCCTTCTCAAAATGTCATAACATAAAGTATGTGGTACCAAATTGCTCAGCCCCCAGAATTAAAAGGAATTGTGGACTCTGGGTTAAGAATCCTGACTTAAGGGAATGTTTCTCAGTCTGGATGGTGGAGAAGCTGGGCACAGTTTCTTTTTTATATATTTTTTCTCCTCAAATTCCTTTTTACCACAGGCACAGTTTCTGTTAAAAATTTTATTGTTGTAAGTCACAGAGGAAGAACTAATAGAAGTATATTGTGAATGATCTGGAAAGGATATCAGGTTCCTTTTTTGTTTACAATCTCATTGTGCCAACAGTACTATTAATTGTCTTTGACTAATAAGAACAGACACCATGTAATTCATTAGGGCCAAATGACTTCCCAGTTCACTATCGGAAAGAGGGCTTCATGGTGGTTTCACAGTACTTCCAAAAGAAAATAAGCACAGAGAAATGAATCCTCATCCAACACACAGCAGTATAGGAACTACTCAGCTTAAAGAAGAACCTGTGCCATAGCCATGGAGGTCAGTACTATATCCGTATTGCTACCAGTGGTTTAGTTTAGCAAAACATCAGTGAAATACTTTTGAATTGGAATTTTATTGGTATTCATTTTTAAGTTGAATTGGTCGTTTTATTTTGGTTTCATAGTTATGAGTCATTTAATAGCTTGATGCCTCAGTTTCCCCACTCATAAAATGGGAATAGTGTTAGTCTTACGTTAGTTGTTACGAGGATTAAATGAGGTAATATAAAATATAAGTAAAGCATATATTAAGCTTTATAGAAGTATTTGTAATTATTATTACCTGTCATGTGGCAGACACTATTCTAGGTGTTTTGCATATATTGTTTAATCTCGAAACTGCCTTATATAAATAAGCATTGTCTCCATTTTTAAAATGAGAAAACTAGCAGATCAAATGAACAACCTGTGATCATTTGGCAAATAAACAATAGTCTCAGCATATATATATCTAGGTCTGATTCCATGAAAAAATCATGCAAATATTGTTTGAATAATTAAATAACTTGTAGTTTTGCACAGATTGTGAATTGCTATCACAGATGCTGGGGATCAGGGTTACTGAGCTTATAGCATAGTTGCATTTTAATTACAATATGGGATTTGGCAGATAGTGATTCAAATCTGTGTCGAATTTTGCTGCACTCTAAGTTGAAGACATGAGAGGTAGCAGAATTCAAAAGTAGTAAGAATGGTGAGGCTGAGGTACACACAGGAGTTTTCACTAGATTAGAAGAGAGTTTTCCTTCAGTGGGGTTAGCAGAAAGGGGTAATAGAAAGCTTGTTGGTTGAAAGTAGCAGTTTGGGTGTGAGAGTGGTGCACAGAGATCACTTACTGCTAGTTGGGTGGAGAGGAAGGTGTGTAATTTGTGTGTGTAATTTGGTAACTCAAGGATTGAGAATTCTCAGGTCATTTGAATAGTCTCAACCCTTAATGTTCTGTACCTGTCAGATATGGTACTTTTGAGGAAAGCTTGTGGTTCTGCAATCAAAACATGAGCCTGATTTGTTTCTTTGGAGATCGGTGACCTCAGCAAGTCACCCAACTCATCAGTCCCCATCATTTTGGCACCAGGGACCAGTTTTGTGGAGGATGATTTTTTCACGGATGGGAAACTGTTTCACCTCAGATCATCAGGCATTAGATTCTCATAAGGAGTGGGCAACCTAGATACCTCACCTGCACAATTCACAATAGCGTTCCCGCTCCTATGATAATCTAATGCTTCCGCCGATCTGACAGGAAGCAGAGCTCAGGCGGTAACACTGGCTCACCCTCCACTCACCTCCTGCTGTGCAGCCTGATTCCTAGCAGGCCACAGACAAGTAGCAAGTAGCCTGAACACAAAACACAGCTATGGGTCTGTGGCCTGGGGGTTGGGACCCTTGACCTAACTGACTGAACTTGGTATATTCAGGCCCCGAGTGTTCCTAAAGGAAAAGGAAGCCCGCCCGTTTGTGGAGTACAGGCTCTTTGCCAGGTACTTTACAAACTTTATCTCATTAAATCTTTACAACCACCTATAAGATAGTTCTCATCCATTTCCAGGTTACCTCTGAGGAAGTTAAGACTCAGAGGTTAAGGAATTTTTGCCAAGATCACAGAGCTGATAACTGGCTTTTTCAACCAGCTTGTGTCTATCTGATTCTAAGCTCCGCACTGTTTCTTTTATATCTGGCATGTCTGAAAGGTGGCATGTGTATTGCAGTTTCCATGGCAAAAATAATTAATCACAGTTCTCTTGATTGTAGAACCTGGACTGAATTTCAGAATCTTTCTCAACGTAGTTTCAGGAATCCACTATCAGTGGATCTGCAAGATGACTGTTTCGTCATGCCTGTGAAAGTAAACGGTGTGGAAGCCCTTTTTGCATGCCTCTGTGTCATTTATTGTATTGCTATTATTTGTCCACATGTTTTTACCACCAAAGTAGAACTCTGTACAAAACGGGCCTTTCCTTATGACCCATTTATCCTCAGCCCCTAGCCCAGTACATGGCTTATGAAATATTGTTGAATTAATACATTTATATGAGAGCTTCATAAACAGTAAAGCATTTTACAGTGCTTATAAGCTGCCTCTACCCTAGAAAAATTACTTGAGACACAGAAATGAAGTTAGCTGGATGGAAAGGAGGTAAGACAGTTGCCTTGATGGGGAGGGTTGGGGGATAAGGAAGGA